GCATCGAGACTGGTTTATAATAAAAATAAATTTACTCGTGCCGATCCTTTACTTAAATCTTTAAACGCACTAAATATCTATAAAATTAATATATACCAAAATATTTTATTTATGTTGAAATACAAACTTGGACTAGTTCCAAATTATTTTTCTAATAACTTTTTTCAAATTAACGCTAATAAGTATACTACAAGAGGAACGGGAAATTTCACGTTGCCTATAAAAAAAAAATTTCACAATATGCAATTGTATTCCGTGGCCCTTTCCTTTATAACAAAGTCATACCCTAAAATATAGAACTTAGTAATTCTGGTAATCTTTATACTTTGAAGAAAAACCTTAAACATCTCATAATTAACTCAACAAGTTTTATTGATATGTTTTAAACATATATGACAAGAAACTGAAAAAGAAAAAATAACAAAATCCAAAATTCTTATACAAAAAAATAACAAAATATCCATCAAGGTATTTTTCCTGAACGTTTAAAACTTGCTAGGGTTATCCCTATCCATAAAGAAGGCGACAGATCCAATATAAGTAATTATCTTTCTATCTCTGTTCTTTCTATATTTTCTATAATTTTAGAAAGAATTATATTCAACAGGGTATACAGTTATTTTAATTACAATAACTTACTTCATAACAATCAGTATGGTTTTAGAAAAGGGAGTTCAACTGAACATGCCATTATTCAATTTATACATAACATCTCTGAAGCTTTTGAAAAATCCCAATAGACACTAGGTGTTTTTATTGACCTATCAAATGCTTTTGATACGGTCGATCATCACATATCAATCCAAAAAATCTTTACGGTTTAAACAACAGAATCTTAAAATGGTTTAAAAGCTATTTAACAAATCGAAAACAATTTGTGTATAGTAATGATGGTCAGCAAAGTGAACCCCTGAACATAACCTGTGGTGTTCCACAAGGTTCAATTCTCGGACCACTACTATATTTAATATATGTAAACGACTTAAACAAAGCTGCCAAATTGAAAACTTCTTTTAACATGTTTATTTTACAACTACAAAGTATTTACAAATATACAAATATAAATATCGTAAACATAAAGTCCAAAATAAATAAGGGATAAATCTAAAATATTGTTACATTCAACTTTGAGACATGATAAAAATAAATACAAACTACACAATAGAATAACGTGAACGTAAAAATTACCCAAGAAATAAACCTTCTATATTCTTTCAATTAAAACAATATATATATATATACAGGGGTGGGACCGCAAAATGTGAACACTTTTCTGATTGTAATAATTAATTTTCTGTTAAATATGAACTATTTTAAATGTTCAATTTTTGTTTTTTTACATATTATATTTTACTTTGTTTACATATTCATTAGTACTTTGTCTTTCGTTTTTTATCAAATAAACTCAACTACATCTAACGAGAAAATAGTTATAATAAAACAAAAACGTTCACATTTTGCGGTCCCACCCCTGTATATATATATATATATATATATATATATATATATATATATATATATATATATATATATATATATATATATATATATATATATATATATATAAAAGTATGATAAAAACAAGATTTGTATAAGATTGAAGAAAATAATTAATTGTTTGTAGTTATAGGAAGCTCGCAGAAGACTGGGGTCAGTCTTGTCATCGAGTACCTTCTAGACGTGTAATACACATAAAAATCAGTTGCATACGTGGTAAATATGTATATATATATATTATGTGATAATTATATATATATATATATATATATATATATATATATATATATATATATATATATATATATATATATATATATATATATATATATATATATATATATATATATATATATATATATATATATAAGAATACTTTAAGAACTAATTTGATTCTTGAATAACTTTTTAAGAATCTACTCCTTCGTGGTATTTTTCTTTATTAATAAATCCTAAATTTTAAATAAATCCTTAAAAATTCTGCTTCCTAAGAAAAAATTTATTTTCAAATTTGGTTTTTAAAACAAGAAGTAAATTTTAAAAAACTATAATTTAAAAAAAATATGTAAAAGTATATATTTTTTTAAAAAGCTCTTTTCAACTACACTTGTAACAAAATTTTCACTTTTTTTCAAAAAATCAAAATTTTTTTCCACCTTTATTGCTATGCACATTACCAATTAAATTTATTTTTACCTTTACAACTTTTTTACTTTTTTGTAATCAAATCTAATTATGATCTTTTTGTCTCAGTATTCTGGCGCCCTAATTATCTTGGCCCCTGCTTGTTTCTGTTTGTGGAAGTATTTTATTCATGTTGATTAAAAAAAAATTTTTTTTTAAAGAATTAAGGAATTCATACTGAAGTTATATATAAATAAAGTTTGTCAGCATAAATGGGTTATTTTGCAACATTAAGTTTGTTTCTATGTATTTGCGTTTGCAATTTAATGCTCTTTAATTGAGTTATTATTATTGTTTCGATTCGATTAATTTGATACACTTTACTTCCGTTCGAATGCACAAGCAAATTAATGACTCATTCAAACTGTCTCCTTAATAGACAATAGCAGATAACTTTGTTAAGAATGTGTTTAGGTCAGATATTAAAAATAAAAACGTGTTTCACTAATATGTAGGTGTAGGGGAAGGTTGCGTAAGATGAGCTGGTTCTTAAGATGGTATGACTAATAATTTTTTCGCGAACTTTTTTGGTTAAGGATATTCATACAAGTTCGACGATGTTATTCATTATAATTTCTTGGTTGTATAGTTAATATTCTTTGATTGTTTTACTGTTAAAAAAATTTACCATCCTCGTTATAATTTTGTATTATTCAATATTTTGTAATTACGTCAGAACGAAACAAGATCATCAAAAATTTTATTTCATTCTCGGCCGTGGCACAGTGGTTAGAGCGCTTGCTTTATAAGCAGGAGATCTAGGTTTGAAACGAGCTATGGACAAACTGTACCTTTTTTTTTTTTTTCACGCTTATCTACTGCTACTTCGGTGGGTTGCATGAGATAATAATAACGTGTTGTCATGGTATTTAAATTATGATAGTACTTGATGAAGTTGCTTAAGATGATACGTTTTTAGACGCTCAAGATGAGATGCGGCTTTTTATTAAGAAAAGCGCATTTTTTTAAAGTTATTCTCCGAGGAGTTTTATTTTGGTTTTCAAGAGCGAAGTTTTTTCAAAAAATAGTATCGTTAACTTTTTTAGAGATAGGAAAGATTTATTATTGTTTTTTTTTTATGGTTGAGGTAATTACTTTTTACTTAGGTATAGTCCTTGAAGATGAAATTTTATTTAATTTTTTTTTTGTGATTGTATTTTTGTTATTTTGAGTTTTTTTGAGTTCCATTAAAAACAGCTCATTTTAGGAAACTGGTTTCCTAAAATGAGCTTTTTTTAAAAAAAATAAGTTTTTTTTATGAAAAATAGATGATAAGATTAGGTGTGTTGAAGAAAACGCAAGTTTTCGTATATTTTTTTTTTTTTTTTAAATGAACTGTTCATTTATATTCTTTGAGAGGAAAGATTAAATCATTATTATTCTTAAAAAAATATATATCTTTTTGTAATCTTTTGGGAGCAAAATACATTACACTGAAAACATGCTCAACTTACGCAACCTTCCCCTAAATATATAGGTAAAATGTTAGTACCTAATAAATTAGGTTTTTTTTTTAGGTAAAATGTTAGTATCTAATAAGTTAAGTTTTTTTTTATGAAAAATAGATTAGAACTAATATTATCTTTTAGATAATATTATCTATTAAATTTTAGGAGTATACACCTTTTTGCATTTAAGTTGGCCAATTTTAACTTTAATTTTTTCACTTTGCAGATTTCTTTTTACAAATCATAGTGAAAATTATCAAATTAAAATGAAAAAATGACAAATTAAAGTGAAAATTGGCCAACTTAAATGCAAAAATGTGTAGTTTTTTATAATTCTTTAAGAATTATTAAAAACTGATAGTAGAAGTTCTAAAATCTTGAGATAATACACGGTCGTTCGAACGACCGTGAATATTATTTCTAAATAGTTAATATAGTAAAGCTTTGGAGCTGATTCTTCAGCCTCGTCTATATTTAAAGAAATTCATTAGTTTTGTCTACAACTCGTATCGTTGCTAATAATTTTTGCTAATAGTTAAATATTTAACTCTTTAGAAAACCTCGTCAACAAAAACCACTTATAACAATTTTAGCTCTAAGAAGTAATAACAATTTTTTTGAGGCTCTTTTACTCTTAAACTTTACAATATCACCTATTTCAAACGTATATGAAAATATAAATGTTTATGTAGCTGCATTATGTCTAAATAATTTTTTAATTTACCTCTCACTCTAAAGACCCCCGGTTACCTTGCCTACCAAAAAGTTAAACACCGTACATTACAAAAGTTTTTCGGTTTTCGTAAATAATTTTTTCTCCGGAGCAGTGTCGAGTCTTTTCGCAAGTATTTTATCTAAGATTTTTTCTAAAAAAAAACGCTTCTCACTAGTACAATGTTTCTATAGATGATGTTAATAAAAACCATAGAAATTTTTAATATATAGTTTTTTGATAAAATGATCTGTGAAATGAATGAATGTAATTTTAATGAAAAGAATATAATTTCAAAACAAAACTTCTCCGTCGACTTATTCTCCGTTTCAAAGATGTTCTAAAAATAAATTATTTTGTATCAAAGCATTGAAACGTTAGAATATTTAGAATTTAAAATTTTTTCCTTTTATTTCTTATTCCGAAAGAACTTAGTTGTCACTAACGATCTAATTTTTTTTCAAGTTTAACTTCACAAGTTTTTTTATGTAGAATGTAGAAAACAAATTTTTTTTACGTAAACTTAGCTGTATTTTTTTTTTATTATTATTACTTGTTTTAATGTTGTAAATTAAAACATAAAAATCTAGTTATATTTTTTACGTTTTTTAAAATAAAGCTTTTTAATCTAGTTTATATTTAGTAGTTAGTATTTTCATAATATCTGAAAATTTATTATTTTTTTACACAGAAAAATGTAGTCACAGCAACTTTCTAAACGTTTCTTTACAAAGAACTATAGTTAATAATGGTTACAGTTAACCAAAAGACCCAGGTATTAAACTTTGATATAAAATGTCTTATACTTGAAATCTGTTTGCTTTTTTATATTTTACTCTTATATATGTATCAAAGTTTGTTAGGTATGCAAAAAAAAAAAAAAAAAAAACACTTTCATTTACATTATTGTAAAAATAACAGTTCTTTTTTAAAGGTTTTAATTTTGAATTTTTTGAAGTTTAATTAATATTTTGCTTGAAAAAATCTAATAGTTGTGTCAGTGTTTTTAATCTTTTGCTTCAGCTTCATTTTAGAATTGATCCTACAATTTAACTAATTGAAACTCTGACACTGATTGAAAATTTATATACATATATATGTATGTATACATACATACATATATATGTATGTTCATACACATACATATATATGTATGTTCATACACATACATATATGCATACATACATACATACATACATACATACATACATACATACATACATACATACATACATACATACATACATACATACATACATACATACATAAATATATATATATATATATATATATATATATATATATATATATATATATATATATATATATATATATATATATATATATATATATATATATATATATATATATATATATATATATATATATAAAGACAACACGGGTAAAACCACAAATATTCACTTTTTGAAAAATTCAAGTTTAAGATATTTTTATGATATACTGGTGCTAAGCTATTTTTAATTTGAAAATTCATTAAAAAATGTTATAAGGTTCTATGGTCATTTAAAAAAAAAGGCAACTTTAGAACAACCACTTTTGTCCAAGGTTTACTTAATATTACAAGTACCACTTAATAGAGATAGGAGTTCTACACAAATCTATGTATATATCAAAGCATTTATATCTATATTTGGTTTGACAGAAAACCGTGTAAAGTGAATCAAATAAATTCTTTCAGCCACAGGTATGTAGTTCAATTTTAAATAAATAAGGATATAACATTGGATATAATGAGGATATAACATATATATATATATATATATATATATATATATATATATATATATATATATATATATATATATATATATATATATATATATATATATATATATATATATATATATATATATATATATATATATATATATATATATATATATATATATATATATATATATAATATATATACATATATACATATATATATATATATATATATATATATATATATATATATATATATATATATATATATATATATATATATATATATATATATATATATATATATATATATATATATATATAATATTTTTATTTTTATTTTTTTTTACTATTATACAATTTTTGACTGAAATAATATTTCAATGTTTTTAATTATTAGGTCTGCCTTGTAAAGACATTAGAGGATTTCATGAAAGCAGAGCTCATGCTTTTTCTGCTAAAAATATTAGTGCAATAGTGCAGCATATTAAGTCATTTCCAGGACAGTTTGCTCATATGCTAGAACAAAATCTACCAGGCTTTACCTCCTAGAAGACTTGAATATTATTAAAATGTACTGCATGTTTAAAGAAAAGTATCTTAGAAAAGTGATTGTGTGAATGTTATTGTAAAATTTTCAATACAAAATTTAATATTTCATGTGGATATCCTAGAAAGGACACTTGCTCATTCTGTGATCTAAAAAAGAAAAAATAGGCACAATAGATTGTCAATATTGTTTCTAATTCTGCTAATAATTTGGTATTAAATAAAAATATTTTAAATGCTTCAATTGAGCTTTATCTGAAAAAAGCTGAAATATTTTATTAGAGGAAAAGAGCTGCACGTCTATCGCTTAGAACACTTTTGACTGTGAAGCAATCTGCTTTGATTTCCAAAAAAATTTTAAAATGGTCTAACATTTCAACACAAGATGCATATTACTCCAGGCAACTGTCATTTTATTCCTTCAACATTCACATACTTTCTACTCAATAAGTGTATTTTTATTGCTACAAAGAAACTGTAGGCAATAAAAGGTCTGATGATGCTTGTTTTATGTTTCATGATTTTTTAATTATCAATTGCCTCAAAATATAAAGCATATCAAGTTGTTTTGTAAATTATGTGCTGGACAAACTAAAAACTGGGCTGTTTTACTTTTTTTATATTATCTAGTTCATAAAACAAAAAGATTTGACAGCATAACTGTTTCATTTCTAATTAGAGGTCATTCCTATATGGAATGTGACAGAGACATGGCTATTTTGAATCAAAAATTTCCAGCAAAAACACCCGATGATTGGAGGAGTGTTTTCAACAAGAGCCTTCACTTTGCGAGGACTTTTTGGAAGAACTGAATGGGCTCTTTTGTAGGCCTTACCAAATGACTGGCTGCTTCTGTAAGCTGGGGAATAGCTAACTCCAGGAAATATTGTTGGTACAGGGGTGTTACTGCATTTGCTTGCTGAGTTCTGTCAAACTGCAATTTGCTTGCTGAGTTCTGTCTTGTTTATGTCTCTTCTTCAATTGCTTATGTGTTAATGTCCCACGCAGTGACAATCTTTTTTGTTCCTTCTTCTCTTGGTCCTTGATTTTATATACCTCAAATCTTCTTTCTAGTTTCAGTCTTTCTCTGTACTCTTTGCACTTCTGAGCTTGACCATCTAAAAAGTTTATATGTACACAAGTATTAAGTTAGTTTCACTATTAGTTTCACTGCACCATGCAAAAAAAGCATGTACTTTTATAATTAGCTTCAAATATTGTCAAAACTTGTTCAAGAAAAACTCAAATTCAAGGTGATACTAAAATGCTAACCTCTTTGCTTCGAAGTGAATTTAAGTGAACTGTAAACCATAAATTCAAAAGTAAATCTTTGGAATTTAAATTTTGTGAGAAGAGGTAGAACATGAATTACTTCCTATTTTTAGAGTTTTATTTTGTAACTAGCAGTTGAAGGTACAGTATCATATAGCAGCTTGCAACAGAGCTATAAATGTTCAACATAGTTACTGAAATAAATTGGCTACATAGATGACACTTTTTTTGTAACAAATTTTTGCAACTTTCCACAAATATATGAAAAATATAATGTCAGAATTGAAAACTACAGTCATCTACCTTTCATTTGATACCAAATATATTGGTGTTTGTTAAAAGTTAATTTTGGACATCATGGTTGACGTTTTGATGGAATTGCCCATATGAGCTAATGAATTTATGACAAAAAAATCACAGATGTCCAAAATGTCTTCAAATACAACTTTTCACTAAATACAAACACTATTTGTATTTAGTGAAAGACTGGATAATTATATTTTGGTAAGACTAAAATGTCATAAAAAAATACTTTTAATTAAATAAATTGTCAATTAACTGAAATCTGATGTCTCTAAACACAAAATTTCATTTTTCTCAAAATGAGAAAAATGTGACATGTGTGTCAATGACCGCCTGAATTGACTAAAAATGCTATTTTGACCTCCCAAAATGAATTCATGTTTCATGAATTAATTTTGGGAGGTCATGGTTGGCCGGTTAAAAAAAAAAAATAGAGATTTAAAACAAGGTTTGACAAAAAATCAATGTTATTTGGAAAATGCATATAATAAAATTTTGATAAACTATTTGAATTTTGAAAAAGGGTTTTAAATAGTTTTCTTGTTTATGAAAAGCTACTTTAATTGCTAGCGGGTCGTTAAAACAAAAAGTTTGAAAGTGAATTGCATTTAAAGCAAATTTTTTCTTAAATTTTTTATCTTTGTTTTCAACACGTACAAATAAATTTACTTTTTAAAAATATAATTCAAAAAATTAAAATTAAAAACTTATTATTAATTTATATCAATATAATTCAATAATTAAGAGTTAATAATTTATTAATGATTTAATATTATTAATTTCGCTACTTATAATATATTCGAGTATATATAAAATTTATCGTTGTTAAAATTTTGTGTATGTATGTATCTTTGTGAATGTATTGCTCAAGGCTTAACAGTTGGGCTGAAAAGTTTGTATCGTTTAATAGAAAAACACATTTTTTTTCAAAATTCAGTTTTATTATTCAACATAGTTTCCATCAGAGGCGATACAGCGATTATAGCGATCTTCCAACTTTTCGATACCATTTTTGTAGTACGATTTGTCCTTTGCTTCGAAATAAGCTTCAGTTTCAGCGATCACCTCTTCATTCCTCTTAAATTTTTTACCAGCCAGCATTCTCTTGAGATCTGAGAACAAGAAAAAGTCACTGGGGGCTAAATCTGGAGAATATGGTGGATGAGGAAGCAATTAGAAGCCCAATTCGTTCAATTTAAGCATCGTATTCATTGACTTGTGACACGGTGCGTTGTCTTGATGAAACAGAACTTTTTTCTTCTTCAAATGAGGTCGTTTTTTTGCAATTTCATCTGTTAAACGCTCCAATAACGCAATGTAATAGTCACTATTGATGGTTTTTCCCTTCTCAAGGTTATCGATGAAAATTATACCATGCGTATCCCAAAAAACAGAGGCCATAACCTTCCCAGCCGATTGTTGAGTCTTTCCACGCTTTGGAGTCGGTTCATTGCGTGCAGTCCACTCAGCTGACTGTCGATTGGACTCCGGAGTGTGGTGATGGAGCCATGTTTTATCCATTGTTATGTATCAACAAAAAAAATCGGTTCTATTTCGATGTAACAGCTCCAAACACTGCTCAGAATCATCAATTCGTTGTTGCTTTTGATCGATTGTGAGTTCACGCGGCACCCATTTTGCACAGAGCTTTCTCATATCCAAATATTCATGAATAATATGTCCAACGCGTTCCTTTGATATCTTTAAGGTGTCAGCTATCTCCAACAACTTCACTTTACGATCATTTAAAATTATTTTGTGGATTTTTTTCACATTTTCATCGGTAACAGCCTCTTTTGGGCATCCACTGCGTTCATCGTCTTCGGTGCTCATATGACCAGTATGGAATTTTGCAAACCACTTACGAATTGTTGCTTCGCCTGGTGCAGAGTCTGGATAACACTCATCAAGCCATTTTTTGGT